ACGAATTAAATCTAGTTTACTGTTGTGTACATCAGGAACCGAAGGTTGCGGTTGTGTAACATGTCGATTACAAAGTTTTACTATTCTATCCATTCAGAAGTTGCTCTTCTGGAATTAGGTAATTTTAGGCGAAAAAGATTCAAATCGATATTGTTTTAATTAAACAAAGTCGCGTTATCGCGATCGATATCATCTTTATCTTATAAATCTAAAAGTAGTAATAGTAATAGAGAATAATAGTAAGTAAAAATAACGGATGGATAAATCGATGAAATAAATTTTCTTACCCTCTTTCTTTAGTCTTACGAAGTTATACTTAATTAATGTTCTTTACCTTCAATTTTCTAAAAATATTCATCTTCTCTACACCGCTCGATTATACATAGAAAGGAAGATACTAACTGCAAAAAAAAAAAAGAATAAATAATTAATCAATCTTTCGTTCGCAAGAAAAACTGTTTCTCTTGAACAGTTCAATCGGACGCGTGCATTACGATTCCGGTTGATATCGGTCGCAAAACGGAAATTGATATAATTGCGTGAAAGGTCGCAGCTGGCCCACAATACAATAGGTGATGGAATTCACTAGACGACCTTGACCATGGCCGTGAATCAAGCCGCATGAATCGCATGCATCCGCGGTCAGGCTGTCAGCTTATCTACTCAAACATCGAATCTGGAGCACGTTAACTAATTACCGGCTTTTCCATGGCTCGGGCTGAAGCCGGTAATTGCATGGCCGTTGCTATCAGTGTTGACTCTCCTGGGAATACAGTTGTCCCACCGCACTCTCTACCGGATTAAAGTGTCAGGTATATTTCTCATCCCGCTGTTTTCTCTTTTCATTTTCTCACCCATCGGCCCTTCGTTTGCCGATTTTTCCACTCCTCCCTCTTTCTCGTTCAAACGAACGTTTTACGAGAAATCGCATCGCGCAGATTCGTGCCGTTTATTTTGACAACGAATATTCGAAGCTTATGTTTCGTCCTTTGCGAAGAAAAGAGGAGGAATTTTTATCAGTTAAAAAGTTCGGTGTTCGAACATCGTGGAAAGATGGATTTTATATTTTTTCTGGAATTAATTTGTTCGAGATTGAAGAATTATTGCCCCGGAATCAATTTGTATAAATTGACTCTTTAAAAATTCTTCCTCTCTAAAAATATTAAAAATGGATATCGATATTTGCCTTCGATGTTTGTATTGTATAAAATTTTTTTACTTTTAAAAATCCTGATACACGTATGTGTGTATACGTCTGTTGTAAATAATGTTTTTAACAGTAGTGAAAATGTTATCGAACACTGTCCACGATTTCAAATATAACAAATGAAGCGAAATGACGATAAGTGCGTAATATCCGAATAAAAATATTTTCAAGAGAAACACGCTGTCGATTTACGAATTTCAGAGTATACGACAGTATCGCGTTCACGGCACGATGAATCAATTCAACTCACCTGTATCACGGTTGTTATTTTTTTGTCACTCGCACTCTTCTCTCATACCGTTACTTTTCTTTTTTTTTTTTTTCTTGTTCAAATTTTTCTTCTCAATTTCATATTTCGAGCTTCTTATTCAATATACTTTTCTCCCATGATAATTAAAAAAATATTTTACTCTGAAATTAAAAACTCTGAAACGTATTATTCCAAGTATGGAAACTTGGATTTATGCGAATAAAGAAATATTCGTCGATTTAAAAAAAAAAGAAAATATCTCTTCACAGGAGAATTTCTCCTTTCTCCAGAAATTTTTTCCCCCCTCTCCTCTAACAATAAACACACTTCTTGCACTTCTCAAAGCTGCATCGAAGAACTCGAAGAAATTTCACCGTTATCTTTCTCGGTCGAGAGATTGTCTTTTTCCTCCGTAATTAGAATATTCCATGACACTTTCGAACCGATCGATCGCTTCGATACCGTCGTGCGTCTCTAGGAGAGATATTTAAATCCAGGGAATAATCCATCAGTCGAAAGACCTTGCCGTGATCCACTTATTGTTTCTTGAGAGTGTCCTATTTCTCGTGAATTTTAATCGCCGATATTCCCCTCCTCTGAATTCTAATTTCTGATAACAAACTGCCTGTTTTTTGTTTTCTCTTTCCAATCGTCTCAACAGGATAAACACGTGACGTAATTTTGAATTAAAAAGACCGATCGCGTGCAGGTCGAATAATAGTAAGGTAAACTGAAATAAACTTGATTTCTTGATTTCTCACAAGGAAGCATTAAAATCTCATTAAATGAGCAGTTAGCATAAACGAGCGAAATGATTAACGTGACAGGCATCTTCTCTAAACGTAACATTAATAATACAACAATTTCTTATTAATGTAAGATTTAATCTTAGATAAGCGTTACACGCGTTGAATCGAAGTAATTTTATTAAAATAACGCATTTAAACGCATTAGATGGTTTCGTAGAAATCGTAATATCGTTTAAAAATTCTAAAATTGTTGTTCTAAAAGTGACATTTCCATGCTTGAATTTTAATTTTTTTCAATAACTCATTCGATTCAAGCGAGTTTTTAAAGTTTCTTTCTCAGATATACTTCCTTTCAATTAAAATCTCATAAAGAACGGTGATTTATGCGCATTATTTGCATTCTCAAAGATTATGTTATATTAAAAAGTTTTAACGATTCTTTATTATAATTGAAATTGTATTTTTAAAATTAGTTACGGGCCAATTTAATATATCCAATACAATTTCTATTCGAACTATGATAAAAATACAATAGTTTCCCGCTTTCATCATCTGCAATTCGAGATTGAATCTAAGATTCCCTCGCCACCGGAGGAGGTGACCTCTGCCAAGTCATCGATATGCTCGAAATAATCGATAAAGATCGGTGTCAACCTTTGTTCACCATTTTATCTCTTTCTCGTTTCGAATTCATTCCGAAATTCCATTTCCAAGAATTGGTGAGGCTCGCGATAAACAACGCGTGGAACAAATAAAAAAGAAAAAAAAAGAAACGTTTATCAAGTGAAATAGAAAAATTCCTCAAATTCCTCCAAAAGACACACTCAGACCGCCTTTCGAATTCCGAGTTAAAAATCATGGATAGATAACTTCATCATCCGGTTGAATAGACGAAAAAAAAAAAAAAAAAAAAGTTAAATGCAACGGTTCAATCAAAGGCGAACGATCGATTTGCATAATCGAGAGAAGAAGAAGAAGAGTTGGCGGATGGAAAAGAAAAGAGGCGAGTTCCCTCGGAGGGGGGAAGCAAAACACGTAAAGACTAATGGTTTTTCGAGTGTTTAAATAATGGAAACGATCAGAGTCGATCAGCCACCACTCTCGGTGTACACCACTCTCCTTTCGCCGTCCCTCTTTCCCTTGCACCTCCATTCCCACGCGCATTCCACACGGTTACATTTTATAGAGTCAGCAAGCTCTAACGGCCGCCACTCTCGGGTATGTTGAACCACGCCGCGAATGTTGTTACGCGAACGTTATGTATTTATGTTAATGAACCCTTCTAAGACGATCACGGAGCCGCGTGCAAGGTCGAGAATGGATATAGCGCATAATATGAGTACCCCATATCGTGTCTGGGAACGTGTCTCGGTGCATTCCATTGCCTTTTAGACGATGATGCGTTAAATGGTGGAACGTTAGATTCCTGTTAGTTTAGTATTAACGGTAGAATTTTGCGCGAATTGTTCCTACGCACTTCTCACATATATTTCTCTGTGTGCTCTTATCATTTCTTCAGACACCCGCTAACTGCTCCAGTCCCATGAAAATTATATTGTATACGTAATTTAACATATAGGCAAACGTTCATTTCTTACATTTTTAACATTTTTTCAATGGCGCAACAATTTTTCACAACCATTCCATTCGATATTTTGAAAATTTTGACTAACTAGGATAGCATTGAAACTCTCGTCGATCAATCCAAATCCGCTATGAAATATATTATAAATAATATGGATGATATAAACAACTATCCCGTAACTAGCTCACTCAAACTTTAATTTAAAAATTTCAAAAAGGAAAATGAATCCTCCTATCCTTTATTACGATCTCATCTCCACGCCATCGTGGACAAAGTGGAGGCAGGGCGTTTAAACGGCGCCAGACAGCGGAGGCGAGTTAAAAGTCGAGGAATCGGATGGTTTGGCAGGGGCGGATAATCGAATTCGGCGGTGGTGAAAAGTGCATCGAACCGCTTTCGAAAGAAGGTCGCGCATCGATTCCGGGACGATGCGCGCACCGGTTCACCAGATATTTTGGCCATCGTCGCAGTTTCCCGGTGTTTTTGGATCGGCCAGTGGCCGCCGCACAGCTCCGAAACGGGCTGCGGACTCGCCGCCACGCAGGGAGTAATGTCCTCGAGTGCACGTATGCACGAGAGTACGCCACGTTCAGAATGCAGTTGCATAACGTTTTCCCCCCACTGTAGTCCGGTTCTCTGCCAGCCACACACTCCCTCCTTCCTTTCTTATTTCTTTTCTCGCACATGCATATACCTGCACACCGTTCTTCCACTTTTTCGCGTCCATTTTTCTCCTTTTCCTTAAAAATCGGCTTAGAAGTCTGATTTTTCGAATACCAGGAATTGGATAAGGGAAAGAGTTTGTGATGAGATTTCAAAACTGAAATTTCAAAGATTTCCTTAAAACTCGTATTATTAATCAGCCAAAATTCAATTGTTTTATTCGATAAAATTTAAAGAGATTATATGTGTATCCTGTCTTGAGAAGCAAGAGAAATTTCTTGATCGATTTACGAATCGAAAGGAAAAGATGAGTTGAAGAGATCGATGAGAATTATGATTAATTTCTTTCGTAATTTGCATACCTTGTTCCTTGTCAAGAAGTTAAATGTTAAATGTTCAAAGTGTGGATAAGTAGAGGAGGAAAAAGCGTTTGGAACAGGCACAAAGAAGGAATGTGTATATTCCTACACGCTTCCGGTCGGCGCTGGAGCACGAGGTGTGCCGCATTTGCGGCATCGTCTGGCGGCGCCGGGACGCTTGACCGCAATGTGCCATGACAGACGAACGAATGCAGGTAATTTGCAATTCTCGTTCGCTTTAATAGACCATACAGTGGCGGGCAAAGCGTTCACGTTAGCTAAGCAAGATTGCATTTCAAACCAGGGGATCGTATTTTTATCTCCTACCTGTTATTCTCTCTTCTCCATTGGCCAGCCTCATTTTATTTCAACCCAAAGTGTATTTCGTCTGTCCAACAACACTCCTCGTATATAATATTTTTAAACTCGGTTTTTATCGAGTCGAGGTGGAAACGATTGGTGGACCCACGTATACTACGTTTCATACTACTTAATGTGTCAAAAATAGAGAAAAATGGTATCGTTAAACTTACAATGTTCTGTGTCCTTCAACAGATTTCCAAATTCAATTAAATTCGTTCTTATTTAACAATCGATTTACATCTCAAAATTTTATTAACGGAGAATTAAGATTAAAAAATATAGCTTGGAACCATCCACCAGCCCGTATCTCGATCGTAAAAGCGTCGAAACGTTTCCGCGAGATGGCGAGCCCAGGCCTGGAAATTTACGGCTAATTGCGAATCCACGCATTACGGGGAAATTAGAGGTTCACCGAGGGGCATGAGAAGAGAAAACGCAATGAAATCTGGCCGGCCGTGGCGCGGCGCAGACCCTGTAAAACCCCCTAAAACTACAACCGCCGCGGTTATGAATGGCCCCCCAAGAAAATGTTAATTTTATGCGGATCCTTTGGTATCCCCACCAGTTGAAAACGCGTTTGTAAACCGTCTATCAAGGAAATTACGACGTGTTGTAAGAAATTTGGACGGAGATGGCCATTTCGTGAATTTATCCGTTTTTTTTCTCCCTCTCTTTTTTTTTTTTTTGCCAACTTCCTCCTCGACATTCTGTCTTTCAAACGACAACTCACGAGGCTCTCCTTACACATCCTTAATACCTTGCGATCTCACAATTTAGTTTTTGCAGGATCATTGAATCCTGGATGCGTGGTATATTTGACGATATTTTTATAACAACAGAAATATCTATAGAAGATAATTCGATTCTATCTTATTACGCGTGACACCAATTCTCTCTTGTGTCGCATTTTTAAAAGATCAGGCGCACATACGCAATATATATTCTCTCCACACGTGACATTCATGCGTATTCTTAGAATTACATTCACTCGTCATATCATTTCATATCATATCCATCGCTCACACCTGTTATGCGAGATTCCATTTCTTCATGTGCACGTGATCGAAAATAAATAATTGGAAAATCGTTATATGTATATATATGTATCTACTAGCAAAAGAGCATCTCTCCTTCGCATCATTTTTCGAATTTTTATTCGCGTAATATCCAATATCCATCGTTTTCCTCTCAAACTCGCTCGTGTGTCGTGAAACTACGATATCTAAGAATATACGTAATAATAGTAATCCACATTTTTGATATCACTGCGAGTTTCACACTTTTCTCCCCAGTTATCGAACTGGCGGGAATTTCACGCGGCAGAATCGGATGTCCACGTGGAAATGATGTCGAACAGGTAGGGTCACGAACTGTAACCCATGGATAACGTTTTACGGCTGTGAACTTTCCTTTCTTTCGATCGCCAGCTGCACGCCGCATTATACCCTCTCTAGTCTTTCGCCTCTTATCGATCGGCCATGTCGTCAGCCCATTCAGTCACGGTCACAGCTGTCGTATCCTGATTTTTCCAGCACGCCACCAGGCCGGGAAAATAGGCGATTTACGGCGAAAAATTGCCGACCCGATAAAACACATCCCAGCTGGGATGTTTAACACGTGTCGTACGTGAAATCTTGATACGCTCGATCGAAAATTCGGATTCGATTTTTCGCACACGATTTCAATTTATCTGCGATTATGAAAATTATCCATCTCTATGTTTCAATTTATATTTCATTTAATTGTACTCTTGCCGATATTTCTTACGAGAATCTAGATAACGAAAACCCTTGATCTATATGGATATTTAAAGGGTTAATTTTACAAATAATTTTATAAAAAATGCCTAATTTAAATTACGAGTGATTTCTTCTAGAATCGATAAAGATATTCTGCGAATACTTTCGTAGCATTTTAATCGTGCAATAAAAATTTTAGCCTCGTAGAGAGGTACATCGACTGTATATCTGTATAAGATTTTGCTTTTTGCATCTCGATCGAGGTCGAAAAATTTTATTCGCATGAAATTTTCGAAGCGGATTTATTTTAAAAAAAATTTGGCCAACTCGGACCGGCCAGTCTCTCTCTCCAATGATAAATCGCTATCTGTGCCCGTTCAGGAAACAGCTCGAGGATCGACCTTGGCCCGCCACGACTTTGCAGAATAGTATATTAACAAGATTTCGGCACGTGCGTCGGAGCTCTGGTCGAAGAAACCGTGCACATGGCCTTCCGGCCTCCCTAATCGTCGTAGAAGCCGTTCTCTCCTGCCTCGTCGCGTTCTTGCTCTCTTTCTCTCTCTCTCTTTGGACGAGCAAACGTCTTGTCCTCGTTTATTCCTGCGATTATAGTTAACCCCTCGTTGCTCGCCACGATGGTCACGCCAATCTAAAACAATAAAGCGAGCGTAAAACCGCGATTCTTAAACTGTAGAGTCGAGTTTCTTCGAGAAGAATTGTAGATATGTAAATATCGAGAGAGAGAGAGAAAGACAGAGAGATAAAAAAGAATGGCGATAAAAAGAGGAAAGATTTTCGTGAGGGCAATAACTGTACTATTTTTTCTTTTTTTTTTTTTTTTCTTCTTTTCTTTTTGAATAATAATTCATCATTTGTGCGGTGAATTTAATTTTTAAATACAATTTTAAATCAAATTCTCTCTTTGCTTCGTCCGAATCATTTACAAAGTAAGAATATATTTAAATTAAAGTCGTGTTTAAAATATGATTGATATTCAGAGTTCGACCTCGTTTACAATTATCATATATATCGTATCGCTTGTATTCGTACAATGACATGTTCATCGTTTAATAAAAATCCGTAATTATTTTAAATAGGCATCCGTGCCTCGTCCTTATCAACATACATCTTAGAAAGAAAATAAAGTTATACAGACAATCTCGACGATCTCTAGATGAAAATGGAAAAATTACTGAAAATTTATTTATCCAAATACAAATATTATTAACGATATAATTTACCTTCTTAGAGCTATAAAATGTAAATTACTAAAGAATCTTATAAGCTGATCGTTGAATACGAAAATGCGTATCGACACGCAATAATACGATTTGGTCCGCCATTACGCCTTTGAAATTGAAGCCCGATCACGCTGTTCTTGAAAACACATTGGAAAGAACGACAAACATTTCTATACCTTTCCCTTCGCATTGCCAATTGTCCAGAGGTAAAAAACGACTCGCCTCGAATTTAAACGATCGAGTCACGCGATACGTAATCAAACTACTTTGGTGTTCCACGAGCATTAAAGGTAACAGAACTAATAGGGCGGGAAATTGGAATGATGTATATATATATATATATGTATATACACATTTGAAAAAAATTGTGATCGAGATTCCTTTTACGTTTTTAATCTTAAAATTTTATTATATATTATTTGCAAAGAGAGTGTCAAATTCGCGATGCGGATTTGGTTCCATCTGGATTATATTTCCGCTCGCACACTTTCATCCTGGATTTTTAATTGCACGGTCGCAGAACAAAAGAGAAACAAAGCAGGGGTAGCGTTCTTTTTTTTTTTTTTTTTTTTCTTTTCCGTTCAAATTTTTTTTCTTTTTGCGTCCACAACAGACGCCGAGTGCGCGTTTGCGATTTTGCTTCTAAGATCGATCTTGCGTACACGCAAACGCAATAATAAGAGAGCCACCGTACACCTCGGTATCCGGTTCCTTTGACCGATGATATTATTGTCGAGACACCCTTCCTTCTTTTCATCTTTCTCTCGTTAAAACTCCTCCTTTACGCCTCTTTCTTTCTTCGTTGTTCTTTCTTCTCCTTTTCCATCCAAAGCTCTCAATGCAATACATTCGAAACTTTTACTCCCCAATTTTATTTTATTTTATTATATTTGCAGTAGTGGTTATTGGAAAGATTTTTACTTTACAATAATACACGCAAGAAGAGAAATTTAATATGATTTTTTTTTTCTAAATTTATTCGAAATTTAATCGTGGATTGATTGATAAATAAATAAATCATAAATTTCTGATAATTATAGCTTTTCCCGTAAAACACAATCTTCGCTTCTTTGTCACACAGATGACGTATCCTTTCTCGAGAGATTTCCTCTCCTTTTCGTTCTCTTATTCTAATCTCTCCGTTTCTCTCTCTCTCCTGAGACATCATTTTCCATTTCTCGCGCAATATTTCCCTTCCCTCGTCTCCTCCCTTTATTGAATTCCATCGTGGACCGCTTCTTTCCCCTCCTCCCCCTCTCAAATATTCTCCATAAGAGGCTCCACTTCAATCTATCTCGTTACTCTCGTTTGACAAGTTTCCTTTTAATCTTATCCTTCATCAAATTTCTTTCGTTTCTCTCTCTCTCTCTCTCTCTCCCTCCCTCCCTCTATTCTTTTCACTCATTTTCCATGCATATTTATACATCTTTTACGTGTGACGATTCGATGATTTTCTCTCTCTGACGCGCTTGACGTCATGCTACTTTTTTTAAATTTCTTCTCCTCTTTTCAATTCGTTCATATTTAGACCGTTACTCGTTCTAAAACCAGAGATTTAACCGATGATGTCAGAAGCTTATTGTGAATGTGCGTGATTCGCAATGTGATACGTCGTCAACGCATCGTTAAGATTTCCTTCATCACGTTCACGCACTGTGCTTGATACTATGATTTCATACTAGTAGATTCAGATAACAGTCTCATAGTTAAACTTAACCAATTTGATATCCTGGTAAATCACGATCGTTGAAATCAAGAAGAAGAAGGGAAAAAATAAGCTTGATCAATTGATCTCTAATGAGGACGTGTACAAAATAAGAACGATAAAAAAATTCTCCTCATCCACAAAAGAAATATACAATCTAATTAAACATTCCTTGTAATCACGAATAAACTCCACGAAAAGTGGCATAAGGCATGTGCGTATTTTTTAAATGCGCATATCTCCGGATGGAAGAACAGGAAAGACAGTGGTGCATCGCGAGGAAGCTTCAGGGCCAAACAGGAGCATCTGTTCGTTGACCACCTGTCGGCAGGTGCAAAACGTACACATAGCCAACCCGTTACCTTCGGCTTCGGTATCAATTGGCCCTTTTGTTTTCGCCATGTTTTACTACGACGTAGTACGTGCGTACGATGCGTGTAATATATATGTAATATATAACATGTACGTCGCCATTCTGGATTTTATTACAGAGAAAATCCCCTTTAAACCATGTAAACAGGAAGTATCTTTTACCCCCCCTCCCTTTTTCTTACCTTTCGATGCATGTCGTTTACGGAACACCTGTATATCTCATTAATCTCGATTCTTTTTAACATAACACGACCCAGTTTTCGTTGCGTTTCTTTTTTTTTTCTTCTCTCTCTCTCTCTCTTTCTGATTTCTTATTTCCGAGAAAGATCACGTGGGAAATCAGAAACTGTTCTGTTTTTTTCCTTTTTCTTTTTTTTTTTGTAAAGAAACCAGGCGGGAAAACGTTTTGACTTTCGATCAGATTTCTTTTCAGCAATCACACATCTCCATATCTGAAAAAAAAAAATGTATACTTTTAAAAGAAATATCTAAGACTTGCAAATATATAATCAATGTTATCTATATATATATATATATATGTATATTTTAAATAGAGAATTGATTTTCGCCCGTATGTGTGTTGTGTGTGTGTGTGTGTGTGTATATAGAAATTATTTAGTAAGCATCTGATTTAATATGGATGGAATGGATATCGATGCGGAGAAAATATGTATGAGGATTATATATTATTCAAATAATTTATTAAATTCGTCGAAGAATCTGTCTGGAAGAGAAGAGAGAGAGAGAGTAGAATGTCAATAATTTAACAAAATAATTGAACCAAGGATTTAAGGGAAAGTATTTTAACGTAATAAAATAAAATAGCAACGAGAACAGTAAAAAAAAAAACTATTATTTTTATTTCAGGCTGCGATACTTCAGCAGACTGCCGAATATATATACCAGCTGGAACAAGAAAAGACCCAACTGTTGTCACAGAATTGTCAATTGAAACGACTGGTGAACCAGCACGAGGGTGGCGATGTTCCGATCAAGAAACGCAAACCGGATAATCAAGGTGAATATCTTTTTAATCCCTTCCCACGGGAAGATAATTGAATTTTGCTCGTGACAACTCTAACAAGCCGTCAATTAACGTACATTATATAATCCCTCGAGACGATATATTGAATTTTAAAACGAATGAAAAAGCAATGAAATAAACGAATCAAAATTAATTCATACTTACGCTTAATCATAATTTATGATGAATCGTAAAATCGTACTTTCTAATCTTAAAACGTAATAAAAATGACGGGCCGCATGAATAAAGTATCATCGTAAAAATATTCATTAATAATAAAATTAATGATAAATGTGATGAGCTACATAAATAAAAAGATAATCATAGGAAAATTTTAAATAACGGAGTTTATTTAAATGATCGTGCCCACGGTCGTAAAAAAAAAATATTATTGTATTCCCATCGAAAGAAAAAAAAAAAAAAAAGAAAAGAAAAACGCCGACAGAACGAACGCATCCGCGGAATCATCACTAATTTAGCCGCCGACTCGCGCGAATAACTTACTTTACGATACTGACTCATCGCCAAGATTTCGTAGGGGAATTTTTTAATTTGTTGGTCGACACGTTGGCGAAAGTTAATATAGAAGGTGTCGTCCGTCATTTTCGCGCGAGTAATTACATTCCATCCAGACTCTGCCCGGATATTCTATTCCATGCACAAGAGGGAAGAAATCGCGATCCGATCGATAGAATCGAAACTTGCCTCTCCTCCCCTTTCCATCCTCCGCGATCCGATTAAACCTTCGAGTTAATAAAAATAATTCGAATAAAAATAGAGGAGGATCTCTCCTCGTATCAAGCTTTTCCAAGTAACGAATTATTCGGTTTAATAACAATGATCACGTTTGAAATACGAGACATCAGATACCGTTCGTAGCTAAGTTTGGCAAAGTGATAATTATTATATAGAAAAAATTGTTAATATCGTCTCATCTTTTGATCGTGAATTTTTCTTCTTGCTGTTCCAGGAGGTGTGGTGGTTAGTCTGCCGATGCACGTTAGCGAGAGCGGTGACGAAGGTTTGGGCAGCATGTCCCCTGAACCATTGTCGGTAATAACGGTAACCACGGAGGGACATTCCGTGGTGAACAACGAGGTGGTAGAGCTGAGGCGACAGTTAGAGAGGGAACGTCACGCGAGGTTGCGTCTAGAGAAGCAAATGAGAGTTATACAGAATCAACTGTATCCGGAGAGATTTAGAGATAATCAGCTAATCACTTACCAACCGCACGAGGTATTCTATAATATTTCGCTCCACACTCACCTTTACATTGCATCGTGTACACTCTGTAACGAGATAAATTTAATTACACCTATTTCTAGAGCTTCTCTTGCTCCTATTTCAAAATATATAATCGTAGCTATAAGAAACTCCTTTGACATAAAAAAACGGAAAAGGAAAAATTGCGAAGAAAATATGCATAATAATTCGTTGGCACGATTGTAGAAGGAAAAAAGAAAAAAATTTTCTCTTCCACACCAGGTGATCGAACACACGGACAACGTGATCGCTCAAGAAACGGAGGATGCGGTGGCCGCGCTTCAGGTAGTTTCCGTGGTGTCTTTGGCACAGGTTGGCACGACGCAGACCGTGGAAACGTCTAGTCCGGATCCAAGTTCACCGCCCCTGTCTCCACAGCCCGCGGACATGGTACCAGAGGAGATCAAGGAGGAGGAGTCAGGCCCGGGCTCGCCAAAGATCGTGACGTTCGGCCAGAACCAGGTGTTCTCGGCGATCGACGAGCAGACTACCGGCGACTCGTTCTCCTCCTCGAGTCGTGTCACGTACACCACGAGTACGGGGGAGTTCAAGAACGCGTCACCTCAGTACATCACCACCAGCCCCACCAGACCGTTCTCACCGGCAGCGGAACCGCAGCGGCTGCCCAGCATCCTCGAGGCCGCGATGAAAGCGGAGCCGAAGGTCGAAGTCGAGAGGTAAGTACGTTTTTCTTTTTTTAAGGTCGTCGGCTCGTTTCGACTCGGAGGATCGACCATTTGATTGGCAACCGATTGGCATTGGATTAATGTAATTCGTACACCAGGTATATGCAGATGAGCGATTTTCGTCCTTGTAATATCGCCACGATCTTACGTTTTTTTCTTTTTGTAAGATAGATATATATATATATATATATAATCTCAGAGATATCGCAAGGACAAAAGTCGCTCGAGGGGCTCGAGAGTCCACGAGACGAGGATCGATGCGTCTTTCCTTGTTTTTCGAATTGGAAACAATGAAGACGATGAAAAGTCGGTCATGTCCACTGGATCTGATATTTGCACAAATATTTGGTTTTAGAAAATGGTTTTAGATTATATAGGTGAACGTTTTTATATAATAGTTTATATAAGAACGTTCATTTACTTTCCAATTTTTGAATAATCAATTTTTATTCCAAATTTTATCAACGAGGATTACTTCATTTATCTAGAATTCGTAGTATATTCGAACGAATCGTTGCTCTAATTTTTTTATTCCATTCTCAATATGGAATGTTTGGAGATGAATTTTCTTTAAACATTTTTAGAAACTTTTGACTTTTGATTAATGATTAACGATTTTGATTGGTCCGAGACAATCTATTTCATATGTATACTAGATTAGTAATATGCATCAGATTAGTACATATCTGTTTTTGAAAGATGAAAAAATTGAATAGAAAGGAGATGAGTCGAGACAGTTAAAACGGTAAGATATATTCTTCTATGAGGAGATAAATATGAACGTTTGTTTTGATTCATTCGTACACAGCATGGTGAATGTTAATCTACGGTCTGCAAGATCCAAGAGTCAATAAATGAGAGATCGGCGTGTGATTTTTTTTTTCTATGCTAAATATAAAAATATTTCTTCTAGTCTGATTTGAATTTCATTATGAAAATTATCGCGTTATTCTAATTTATTTAAATATTTGATTAATCTGTGTAATCATCAAATTCGTACATAATATCTCATGGGAATGTTTCAATGAATTTCACATTATGTAATAAAGTTAATATCGTCTCGTTTATAAGATATATAAGCGTTTTAATTTTACGATGAACTTTACATGGTATACTTATATGGCTTGCATTCAATATGTAGGGTAAATGTCAAGGTAAATAGTAATACGTGTCTTTGTCTTATTAATGTTTTATCAAGCGCTGGTAACGATTCTTCTTGCGAATATTATCCCACTTGACTGATAACGAGACACGTATTAACAGACGGTTTAAAGGTCACGTTTTATCGAATCATTTTTATGCAACGTTACCAAATTACTTTCGACGTGAAATTTATTTCCACCAACATACTTTTCTCTCTTTCAATTTTAACCATTTTTAATTTAAATTATTTCTCCTTATCCAATCTTTCATTGATCTTTCACTTTCAAGTATGTAGACACATATTCTAATATTATTAATATCCCCCCAGAATCATAACGATATACATCAACATTTAATTAATCAATCATAAACACGTTCGAGTATCCGCACTCGTCAATCTGCGATTCGACGTAAAAAACATTAAAAAAAAAAAAAAGAAGAAGAAGAAGAAGAAACAACGTTTAATCCTACGTAGAAAATGAAATTAATCGTTTCAATTTCAGGTTGCCGTCTCCATCGAACTCGTTGGACGACGGTTCCCCACAGGCGAGACTCTATCTGGCCAACACGTCCAGACAGAATCTGGAAACGATCGTGGAGGCGATACGCCACCTCGAAGGAGACCATCTGTTCAGCGACGAGCCGGCCCAGGATGTGCCGTTGGCGTTGACCAACAAACAAACGGCCATCGCGTCGAGCAAAACGTCGACGACGTCCGGCGCGTCGCCGGCTGCGTCCGCGAAGCAGCGACTTCTCCAGGCCGAGTTCCTCCAATTCCACAGGCAACAGCAGACCCAACAGCGGCCGGGCGTGATCGTGGTGAAGCATTCGTGATCGAAAGGCGCGTCGCGATCGGCAAACTGAACGCGCGCGTCCGCCGCGGCAAACTCGCCTCCGCTCGAGAATTAAACGAACAATCGAAAAATCCCGCGACGCGATTCGAGACATCAAGAGGAGATTTGCTTCGAGAAAAAGTGTGCTGTACACGTGAGAGAGAGAGAGAGAGAGAGAGAGAGCGTGCGTTAAGTATAGAAGAGAGAAAGAGGACGAACAAGATGAAGATTGGGGAGAGCGAGAGCGAGAGCGAGAGAGAGAGAGAAGAGAGAGCGAGTGAGAGAGAGAGAGAGAGAGAGAGAGAGAAGAAGAAGAAACAAGAATTCTTTCAGCG